TGGTCTACTCTGTAAGAACGGTTTTTTGAAGGCAGATCTGCCTTCAAAAAATCGTTCTTTTTGAAGGCAGATCTGCCTTCAAAAAACCGTTCTTTTTGAAGGCAGATCTGCCTTCAAAAACCGTTCTTACAGAGTAGACCAGTCTTTCCTCCATCCGGGAAGTCCGCGCGGACCTCCGAGTGATGTGATGTTTTTTTGCATCTTGGTCTGCTGCCCCCCCAGTCGGGCCTCTGTCCCTCTACAGGAGGGATGTTCGAACATGATTCACTGCGTGGGGCTCCCCATGTGTGCATCTGTTCGCATGGACCTGTCCGCCGTGAGTGTCTGGGCGCAGGAGCTTTCGAATAAAAGCGGGCTTCAGTTGTGACGGTCTGGTCATGAGGGGTGTCGGCGCCGATCCAGGAAATTCGGGGGTGGACAGAACCCCAAACGGTGACACGTCGATTAGTGCATTGTCCGTTTTCGGTTCTCGAGGGGGCGCCGCGGCCGTTATCTTCCAGGCTTGCGCCCGCCAGGTTTGGGCCTCAGGCCGTTTTCACTAAACCACATTTTACTAAGGGGAGGTCTGTCCATCCCCGAGAAATCCGTGCGGATCTCCGAGTGATGATGCTAATGCATCCTGTTCTGCTACTCCCCAGTCGGGCCTCTGTCCCTCTACAGGAGGGATATTCAACGATAATAGAAAGAATAGGCTGGGGACGATCTTGTTGACTATTCTGGACCCTTTTGCGTTTTTGTTGTTGCATTTTTGTTTTTAAGCTTTTAAATAATTTGTTTCGTCAAAAAATCACCCTATAGGTGGACACGCCCGACCTAATTCTACCCCCGTCGCTCCCCTCCCAGAGCGCTCTGGCGATGCTGCCGCCCGCCGCCGCGCTCCCCCCCGGGGCTGGCGAGCTGCCCTTGCGGGCGTACAGTGCCGTTGCTTCTTCCAGCCGGTTGGCGGTGGCCTCGGCAAATCCCGCTGGGGCGCTCCCCCTCGCAGTCCTGGCGGCAGACTGCCGCCTGTCCTGCTCGCCCGGGCATTTTCTCTCTTCGGGCGGAGGGCAGGGAGTGCCATCTGCAGTGCCGCTTCGATGGCTCCTCGAGGCCTGCATCCGCAACGGGCGAATCACGAGACGGATGGATTTTCGAGGTGCAAGAGCCCCTACAGTGCCGTTTGTAATACATGCTCCGCGTGCGGATCATGTATGAAAGGTGCAGGGATTTTTGGTATTAAAAACAACGATGAGCTCATGCATCATTTTATTCATACATTGAGCATGTATTAAGCATCCTATATGTTAAAAAATCCTATGTATTCAAAACTGCCCTGTAGCACCCCGCAGGTGCGGATAAGAGTGAGGGGGTGGTGGGAACGTCGGCAGTTTGCGAGACTCTGGAGAAGCCCGCCGCAGGCGCCAAAGTTCCACAAATCCGCAAATCCTATGTATTGAAAATTGCCCTGTACGAATTTCACCCCGAGCCCTCCACCCCGAGAAGCTGCCCAGCGCACGGCCTCCCTCTGTGTGCCGGCGCGCCGGGGCATGGGGGCGTGCAGGAGGCCGCCTCCCCCGCCTCCCCCACGCCGCGGTGCGCGCTGCCAGCACCTCGGTCTACCCTAAGGGCCTACCCCAGGTCTACCCTAGGGCGTTGGGTAGGGCCTACCCTAGGTCTACCCCAGGGCCTTGGGTAGGGCCTACCCTAGGCTACCCTAGGGCCCTGGGCAGGGCCTACCCTAGGCTACCCTAGGGCGTTGGGTAGGGCCTACCCTAGGTCTACCCTAGGGCGTTGGGTAGGGCCTACCCTAGGCTACCCTAGGGCCTTGGGTAGGGCCTAGGGTAGGCTTCCCCCCCCGGGTTCTATACCCCTCTGGTGTCACTCCATCATGAAGTCGGGCTTGTCCCTCTACGCTCAAAAACACAGTTACAACAATAGTCTGGGGACGCTTTTTTTCGGATTATCTGACCATTTTGGAGTATTTTTCGATTGCTTTTTATTGTTCGCCCAAAATCCGCCTGTGGGGGGACATACCCGACCTAACTCTATCACCGCCCACCCCACCACCCCAACCGAACCCGAAGGCCCCGATTTGCCCTCCATCTCCAGTGTGGGGGGGTTCGAGGAATATGGAAGACACAGGAAGCCCGTCCCCCCCCCCGCCCAACCCGAACTTCGGGCGAGCTTCGGGTCTTCGGGTTGGGTTGGGATGGTCTGGTAGGCAGTCACTCTGGGCCTCCTAGATGGGGTCCGAGTAGATGGGGGTCGGGGGATCGCGCCGCATCGCCGGTACATCGGCGATGCGACTCGATGTGGGGCCCGTGTTTCCCCAAGCCGACGTCACCGATGCATCGCCGACGTCGCTGATGCATCGCCGATACATTGCCGATACATGGGCGATGCATTGGCGATGCGGCGCGGTCCTTCGACCCCATCTACTCGGACCCCATCCAGTAGGCCTCTAGTCATTGCATGGGCAGGGGAGTTTGCGGAGAGAACCCGATCGCCCGTGCTCCTCACGGTCGCAGCGAGGGGCAGCTGCAGTGATGCAGGGCTGGTGGTCTGCAGCGTGCGCCTACTCCGGGCCACAAGGCCGCCTTCTCTACGGGGCTCGGTCCCCGAGGGTTCACCACCCACCAAACCACCCCAACCCAACCCGAAGGCCCCAATCTGCCCTCCATTCCCAGTGGGGGGGCGTCGGGAAACATTGAAGAACCAGATCTGGAACCCCTGCCACCCCCCGAACCCGAAATGCGGGTCTTCGGGTTTCGCTGGGGTGGTCTGGTAGGTGGTCGAAGGGGCCTGGAGCGTTCTTCTGGCCGCGCTGCCGCGCCCTGCCAGCCGGCACCTGCAGCTGCGCGTCGTGGAGTCCAGGGCAGAAGCCCAGACCTCCAGCGTCTCGAAACAGAAAACAGGACAGAGTCCTCCTCCTCCTCCTCCTCCTCCTCTTCCTCCTCCTCCTTTTCCTCCTCCTCCTCCTTTTCCTCCTCCTCCTCCTCTCCTCCTCCTACCTCCTCCCCCTCCTCCCCTCTCCACCTCCTTGCCCTCCTCTATCCTCCTTCCTCTCTCCCTCCTCCTCCTCACCTCTCCTCCCCCTCCTCCCCAGCCTCCTCCTCCTCCTCCTCCTCCTCCTTCTCCTCTCCTCTCCTCCTCCTCCTCCACGGAGCTTTTGCCACCTGTCTCGGCATCGGGGGGCTGCTGTCGGCCTCTTGGAACGTCAACAGGTGGACCAGGAACGGGAAGCCAGTCGCCAGGGAGGGGTCTAGAACTCAGGGGCCCGCGTGTTGAAAGCAATCAGGACGAAGGAAGAGGACGAGAAGGAGGAGGCGGAGGGGGAGGAGAAATGGGGAGGAGGAGAACGAGGAGGAGGAGGACGATGAGGAGGAGGAAAAGAGGCCTCTAGGGGGCTTTGAGAGCCTCTTGGGGGCTTTTTGGGGGCATCTGGGGCCCGCGTGTTGAAAGCAATCAGGACGCTGGGGGTCTTCGGAGTGGGAAGACTTCGGGAAGGAGTGTCGCGTTGGTCCGCGCCGGTTCGGGGGGAGGGGTCGCCTCTGGGAACATGGCAGATGCCCTGCAATACGGCCAACGGGCGCTCTGACGCGCCCCTGGATTCCCGAGCTCTGCGGCGGATGCACTATTGAAGACGCCCGCTGCGAATCACTGCGGCCCCCTGCCTTCTGGAAGCGCCTCTGTGGCCGAACGTTGCGGCCAGAGCTCGGCCAGAGCTCGGCCAAGCTATGGGCCAGCCCACACCCTTCAAACACCGAAGGGACGCAGCAGACTTTGGCCTCGTCGGCCCTGTCTGGAGGTCTGAAGGCCTCTTGGGCCGTCTTCCAGGCCTTCTGGGCCGTCTTGGGCGATCTTGAGATCATCTTGTGCCATCTTGGGGGCATCTTGGGGGCATCTCGGCCCGTCTTGGAGACATCTGGGGGTCATCTTGGGCTCTCTCGGGGCCACCTCGGCCGTGTCGGGGACCATCTTGACCGTACTGGAGGCCATCTTGGGGCCGTCTGGAGCGGGAACACCGGCGACTTGGGAAGTTTATGGGTCCTTCTTCCGTGCCGGCGCAGTGCAGTAGGGGCGCTGAAGAAGGAACCCTTTTCGTTGGGGAGGGGCTCAGTGTTCTTTCATTGCCGTACAGTTTGCCCCGAGTTTTTCCTAGGTCTTGGATGCTCTAGATCGGCATAGGAACCCCCACCCCCACTCACATCAAAACCCATCCAATTTCACCCTCCACAGCGCCCCCCTGGAAGTGCGCTCATGCAGTTCGAGCAAAATACAAATCGCCGTATGAGCGCAGATCGCCTTGGGATAGGGATATGTTCCAGGCTGGTAATACCCCGACACGTCGAGTAGCGAATTGGCCGTTTTCGGTTCGCGGGAGGGCGTCGCGGTCGTCGTTTTTGCGGGTCCAGGTGCGTCGGTTTCGGTTCCTGGCCGTCTTCTCGAAAGGGAGGTTTATTGAAGGGAGGTTTCTCCATTGCCGAAAGGTACCCCCAGGATTCTCAGGGTAGCCCAGGAGGCCTCCAGGGCACCCCTCACGAGGCCCAGAGGACTCCAGGAGCTCCAGAGTGGAGCGAACAGACCTTGTGCCAGGGGCACTTCTGGCAACACCCGACACGGGGCGGCGGATCAGAGACTCGTACGGCGAATCACCGGCGGCCCTTGCCTTGAGTCGGGCCTGTCGTTCTGCAGGAGGGATATTCGAAAATGGTCAAAACAAATAGTCTGGGGGGCGATTGGTTGATCATTTTTGTCCATTTTTTGGGGGTACTTTTAAAGCAAGTGCCATCTTTCATTGTTCGTCCAAAATCCGCCTGTAGGGGGACATGTCCGACGTAATCCTGCGGCGAATCATTGCCGGCCCCTGCCTTTTGGAAGCGCCTCTGCGGCCGAACGTTGCGGCCAGAGCTCGGCCAAGCTATCGGACTATGTTAAGTCGGGCGTGTCCCTCTGCAGTCAAGAATATCCCAAAACAGCCAGAAAATAGGATGGGGAGGATTTTTGCGACTATTTTGACC